ATGAACATCTGTTGTACAGTTATAACAGATATGTCAGAAATAACTGGTAAGCAATCTGTCACAAAAAGGTTTGTTGATATAAATATTGTTCTAAGGGTATGCAAACTTTTGCACTCAACTGTATGAAGGCTGATAATGCTTTATTCCTATTTTTATTCTTTACTTTTATTTGCTCGTCACTCCAAAACCTCTTTAGGAGCTGTCAGTTTTACACCGTGGCTCAGAAATATCCCTCGCTGATGCCTTTCACATAGCTGGAGTAATTATTGACGTACTTTCTTATGCTGAAGGCCTGGTGTGATGAAAATTTGATGTCTGATGTCTATAAAAGGCAGATTAGTTTTTATCTGTATGGAACAGACTGTGTCTTTATACTGCCTCATCTATTGTGGCCTTGTCAGACTCTTCCCCTGTGTCTACAGCTGTGTGAGTGAGTGTGTGTAGATGCACGCGTGTGTAATACTTCACAGATGTTTATATGGATAACAGGATTATTCTGGCCATTTTTGACCATTTATTTCCTGAGTCCGGTGTCGTAAATTTCAGATTCATTATCATGAATGTCTTGCGATTTTCAATATTGCATTAAGATTTACACTCACTGGCAACTTCAACAGGACCACTTGTACCCCTGCTCATTTATGGAGTTATCCAAACAGCCAATCTTTTCGCAGTAGCACAATTCATAAAATCATGCAGATACAGGTCAAGAGCTTCAGTTAATGTTCACATCAAACATCAGAATTGGGGGGAAAATGTGATCTCAGTGACTTTGACATGTTTGTGGCTGCCAGATGGGCTGGTTTGAGTATATCAGAAACTGCTGATCTCCTGGAAATTCCACACACAAAACTCTCCAGTGTTTACAGAGCATGTTGCAAAAAATACAACAAAAAAATATCCAGTGAGCAGCAGATTTGTGGGCAGAAAACCCTTGTTGAGAGCACAACAACCACAAGTCACTGACAATGTACTACACTGATGTATAAAGAGGAACAGGGCTTGTCTCATTTTTGGTGTCCGATACCCCTTTGATGACACAAGGCTTTACTCATAAAAAAGTTCTCCATTTGAATAGATTCAAATGTGTACAGCAGTAAACTGAAAATGGCAACCACAGATTTGCATATCATGCACACTGCTGACAGTAACTTTGCTTGTTTGTTGATTAATATAATGATTAGTAATCTACAGTTGCCCATGGGGTACACAGCTTCACCACATTAGCAAAGAAAACAAAACCAGAGGACATAAGAGCACTGAGCTGCAACACAATATTACAAAAATAAAACATTTCTGAAAAGATTGCATTTGAAAGGAAAAAACATTTACTACACTGTAACATTAATTAACAACATACCAACATTAAACAGCAACCCAGCAGCATTAACCGAAAGGACATGATTGCAAATGTACTGGCATTCAAGTCACTCACTTGGTAGAAGCAGCAGATTAAAGTTTTCACTCTTAATTTACTGTATACGCTTTATGCTATTAACAATAAATGTATTGTTCTTATGCTGTAACTAGTGATAGTGACTTGATACAGGCAATACTGGCTTTGAAATAGAACATCAGTATCAAAAAGAATACTTTAAGTCTGATCTACACACATTTTTATACCATTACAGTTCTGTCAGTATGTCAATATAATATCAGTATTGTGATATACTGTAACAATACACACATTACACTTTTATACGATATCCTAGGCAAACACTGATTAAAAGCAGCTGAGTTGATGTTAGACTTTTGTACAGAATCTTTAAAATGGTAAAATGGTAACATTTCTACAGATATAAAAACATTTTTCTCCTTTTTAGTGTTAAATCATTTCTTTTTGTTGACATTTATTAAGGAAAAGTAGATTTTTTTACAGGATTTATATGTGCAGCACTACTGTTTCACTGGAAGTTTGTTAGCAAAGGTATACAGTATATCATGTTTACAATACATCATACAAAATATCATATGATATTTTTCTCATATCACCCAACCCTACCATAAACACATGTATGTTGACTGTCACGATGCAAATCATGCACATAAACATATGAATACTACCATACTTGAGTGACAATGATTCATCATAAGAAACACATTTTTTGCCTTAACAAATAGCATACATTTTTCATTGATTAAAATCCATTTTACATTTTATGTTGAATAAAGTAACAATCAACAAAAAATAAATCCACTTAAATGGATGTGGATGGAGATGTAACTTTATTTATTATGCTGTCTACCTGTCACACCTGCTGTTTCAAACACAAGCACTTCACTTCTGTGCTTTCTCTCTATGTGTAAGTAAATATAACTGTCTGATCTACATGTCTGCATTGACAGTCAGATTAGCAAATTAGCACACACGTGCTTTGCCACTGTATATGATCAAATAAAGTTTATTTGCCCAATAATAGTGTGTATGGCTGCAGAGTTGTTTTAACTTTTGTCACTAGGACAGAGTGCCACCACCTCTTGCATAACATTGATAGCCAATACACCAACCATCCATAGACTTATACATAAACCAACCACAGTTATATAAAATGTATAGTGAGATCAGCACCCACAACTACAATGCAGTTTCCTAGTAACATAACACAGTATAAGCATCATCATTAAAAAAAAAATGGTTAAAAAGATAAAAAATTAAAGTGGGTATCGAGACAGACCTATGTACCTAGGAAATATGTATCTGTCATGCCAATACAGCAAAGCACTGTAGCAATCATGTGCCCGTGACACTGCTTATGGCCCAGTGTGTTCTGTAGTTAGGGTTTAAACTGATGAAACTTTGCATGATGGAATGCCAGAGCTGTCCTAATGGAATAAATGAACCCTGAGAGGCTTCATGATGGCCTATGGATAGTATTTCCCTGTGGATAAAGGTAAATAATGGTGACAAAGACGTCTTATGAATAATGTAAATTAAAGTCAAGTATTGCTGGGAGGCAAGACAAGAGAGCAAATCTTATAGCCTGTTGACACAAAACAGTAAACATGTCCTTCAGTTGCACACCCTTTTTCTGTAATGTGTTTATTCTTTAAAAGTGTCCTTGCACATATTCAACCAATATCCTAACTACTGGCTGTATTGTGATAATTTAATCATTTTCTCAGTAGCTTTTAGAGAGCGAAAGGTGACCTTTTTACTCCATGGCTATCACAGACTGGCAGCATCGGGGGAGAAGCATTACCCTTCAGTAGGAGGGATAATTATGAACAAAGCATGCAGAACGCTGACTCTCTCAGAACGATGCCTGCAGAGGGATGGCGGATCAATGCCTTTTTCAGACTAACCTAAAGTTCAATTGTGATGGAACACTGGAGGGAAAAAAAAATCATGCGTTGTGTGTGTTTGCTACATGTCCTCAATTGCCCCTGAGGGACAGAGAGCTACTGGTTAGGAACTTTTATTAAAATAACGACAGCAGCAGAAAGAATAGGTTTAACAGATGTCTTTGATGTTCAGTTCATGGATGGTTCAATTGTTGCTATTGATGGACCCAGAGCGGAAAAATAAATTAATTTCTGTGCACTTGTGGATAACACTTAGGTGTCTCGCTTCTTAATATAAATAACAAAATATTTGTTTAGCATCAATGGGAGTTTTTCTGAGAACTGAACCATGTCAAATGGTGCCATTTTACTAAGAGGAGGTAGTAACACATATTTCATTCAGACCTGCATGATTTACTTATTTGTTTCTCATTATTCAAGATTGTGCAGGATCTGCACTAAGTATGAGGTCTTATAGTGCATTTAATAAACTGAGTGGGTTCTTCCTCTTTGGGAACCTGCCTGGAACAACAGCTGCGTGTAACAGCAGGAAGTTGCTGTCAGTGTGTGTATGGGTCTTCTCTTCTATCTGGTGTAATAGTGTACGACTTGCCTGTGTTCTTACCTTGTTGAGTCATCATTTAGCCAGCGCCGACACGCACTTTCACGTCACACAGACCACTCCATGCCGCCATGACAATTAGAATCGCTGTAGTGGTTGGCATTGCTGACAGCTCATCCACTATCCATTGGGACCTATTTTGAATGGATTAGGTAAGGTTTGAATTTTAAAATGTGGACAGCAATCTGAGCAATTACAGTTTATACCAGTGAAATACATATATATATATATATATATATATATATATATATATAGATATAGATATATATAGATATATAGATATATATATATATATATATATATATATATATATATATATATATATATATATATATATATATATATATATATAGATATAGATATAGATATATATAGATATATATAGATGTATGTATGTATGTATGATGTCATGCTAAAGGTAAGTGTATTTAAAGGTACAGTCAGCTGTAGCTATCTGTTTTGAAACTCAATACCCAATCAAATTTAGCTCCTACTTTGAGGAAAACCACGACCCCAAAACAGATCTCTAGGCTAGAACAGCTGAATGCTAATGCAATGGAAGGAGCTTTCTGAATGGACTGGCAACATCCTTGGCATGCTTACTTCTCCTGTATGGTTGCATGTTTGGTTCACGTTGTTTGTATTTATATGACTTGAAAAGCATAGAATGTGAGGAGAACAGTAAATCACGGACAGGCTTTATTCTAAGCATTTTAATGCATTTAACAGCTTTTAAATATGCTACCCACATGCTCTTAGTGAGAATGCTTCATGAATACATAGATTTTTTGAGTGATGAGCAATAATGCTGGTTGTTTAAAATGCACGAATACACATATAAGAATTATATGTCAATTCCCAGACATCAGGTCTAACCCTTAATGGTACTGTATAGAACCCTACAGCAGAACTGTTTGATTTTCTAAGAATGGAGGACATTTGAAATTCTGAATGAGTCAGTTGTTGTTGTTCTGTCAGCTGCTCCCATTAGGGGTCACCACAGCAGATCACCTTCCATTGTCTGCATATTGATTTGGTACAGGTTTTCTTTTTTTTTTTTTTAAACACCAGATGCCCTTCCTAACACAGCCCTTTTTATCCAGACTTGGGATACAAACCCACAATCCTGAGATGAAGAGTCCCATGCTAACCAACTGAGCTAGCTGGACACATTTTTTGAATGAATCAGCAATCTTTTCTAATTGTTTGAGAAATATCATTTAATGGATTGTTGTACCTAGTCACATGGGCTTCTCCTTTCTACTTTAAAATGAATAAAACTGCACAGTGGAGTGGCATCAGTTTTCTCTGTTTCCCAGGACTGTAAAGCCTTTAGTTACTCTACAAGATTCACAAGCACCCTGTTAAATTTTATCTAGCCAGCGTAACAGAAATGGATTTATTGCCCCTAATAAAACACTAAATGGCTAGCTCTGTGTGCATATTTTCACTCTTTTAAAGAGTGGGAAGAGGTAAGTAGTTTTATTTTTTCCACTAGTAATTCTGTGCTTATTAATGTAGTGATTGAGGTTTATGTAAGCAGTGTGTTTTGTCCATCCCTGAATCCCCTGCATGTCCTTATCCTCAGCTCCATTTCTGTCTTCACTATTAAGTATGTCAGAGATGTAGGTCACTTGTCTTTTTTTCTGTCTTCAGCCAATTCAATTTTGGTAAAATGATAAAAAAGTATCAAATTTAAACGCCGCTCAAGTGCTTTGAGACAAGGCAGAGACACAGGAGTCTGTCATACTTAAAATACTGGCTCCCTCGTGTCACTGTTCCTCGAGAGAGAGAGTGAGAGAGAACAGGAAGTACAAATAGGTTGCTGATAGATCAGGGAAGTGGAGAAGGTAAAGTTTGCTGACTTTATGTTTAATTTTGAAAAGGATTGATGGCATCATGCCATGTTATGTTCCATTTGAATGGTGGCACATTTCTTGGGATCATCACTTCCTGGACTTACACATCTCACGAAGAGACAATCGAAGAAAGGTCAGCTGCAACGAACAAAAAAATGGGCACTCAAAATTCCCCCAAGGAGTGATTACACTTACTATGATTGAACTGCACTTGTGTCTACATTATTGAATCGATCATCTGTTTCTCAAGATATGTTGCATGCTAAACTCTCTTTAACCCTCTACACTGCTGTGCTCTACCTCAAGAGTTTTATTCTGGTGCATCAGGAAGTTTGGTTTGATAAAACTGTAACCCTTGGAGGATTTACCCAGCTTTTTATCTGTGAATGTTCGTAGGAGTGAGGCATCTGTCTTCAAAGTGATTTCATACACATGACTTTGATTTGGTTTCCATTCTAGCAGTGGACTGAACAGTCTGTGAAATTGCTTTCTAGTCTCTTGCTATTGTCCTAGTTTCCAAAGACCCCTGGATATTAATATAATTAAAGGAGAAATCTGGACAGTTTCTTTGATGAAACACGCTGACAAAAATCTCTTTCATCTAAAAACACAGTTGGGATTTTTGTACCCTTTTGTTAATTAATTGTTCATTTGTAGTTAGTAAATGTGTGATGCCTACAAGCTTTGGATTCTCTGTTCTTTCTTCATAACCACTCACTGATATGTACTGTATTTTGTGGAAGGTCTTGGAAAGATCTGTTGGGGTGTGGTTTAAACACTCAGTCCTCCTCAGCCAGTCCCATCAGCTTTTTTCTTTTCTGTGGGAGGTCCTGCTTCTATTATCATTTACTATTGTCTAGTTTAACATCTGTAGGTGGCTTTGGATAGAGGTGTCTGCTAAATACCATAAATGCAAAGCCTGTTGCACACATTATCACAATTGTGGTGTAAGGTAGTCCAGTTTCAGAAAAAGTTATAGTCATAATGTATCATTTTGTGTAGATGTGGACCAGAAGTATGAAGTATGCATCCATATTATGTAGATCATTAAGAGAGGCCCTGACTTAAGGGAAAAGATTACTAATCTCTGTCAGCAAGGGGAAAAAAAGGGATGTCTCTCCTAGGCATCAAGTCTAAACTGGAAGATTAGTCTACAAAATGAAGTACCTGTCCCCAAGGAAGAGCCGGGCAGAGCAAATGATTGACAAGGACATGCTTTCCCTGAGACTGAAGACCACTTCAGGAAGCTTCTCACCTCTTGGGAATTTCTGGCATGGATGGATGGTCTCAAGGCTTCATAGTTGTGCTGAGCTGATTGTTAGTTGAAAAAAGGCCGGGATCATCTGTAAGCATCTGTCATTTGGAGAGGTATGTCATAAGACGAGCTCCATGTGCTCCTGACTGATGGTCTTTTACTTCAGTAGTATTGTACCATCAGTCGTCTGCATCACAAGGCTGTTATCCAATCATAAATGCCATGGTTCAGACTGATGTGGCCTGCTTATCTTATTGTCCATGACACAGTAATGTGTGGGCAGAGCTGATAGCCATTAACAGGAGTGAAGCTTTCTTCCCATCTGTTGCTATTGCCTGCTCTGGGAGGCAATAGAGCCATGCAGACATTGACACCAAACTCTTATCTGTCACAGCAAATCCACAAATGATGGCCACGGAGAGCCAAAGCTTTAAGACTGCTATTGAACTGCGACCATGACATGACTGATCTTTGCATAAGGACTGCAGTAGTAGAGAGGATATGGAAGCACGCGGTTATGAGGAAGTTTTTTTGTTTGTTTGTTTGTTTGTTTTTTTTAAAACTGGAGGTTGTTATTTGCTCTGATTCTCCAACAAAGCAAATAACATGTGGGAGAGATAATCATAAACTTAACTATCAACTTCAGAAGTGCTGTATTTACACTTGCTTGCTGACTTTTGTAAGCAATGAGATCATGTTCACCCATTGGCTTGTGACATGACACTTGTACGAAAGGAAATCTGAGTGCATGACTTTATTAACATTCTTCAGCAGCCACATGAAGTGCACCATGAGTATCAGTGTCCTTGCTTTGCTTGATGGACCCATTGATTTACTGACATAACAGATGGAGGGTGTCACCTCATCCAGAGAGAATGAGCCTTCACTGATTGTAAATATGACAGTGTAGAACACAAACATTTATACTCATTGTTCAAAACCAATGTGAGCTTGAAGCCAGACCTTCTTTGAGTTTACTCATACTCATATTTTGAATGTAAATGTATCTGGAGTATGAGTATAAAGTCATCTCTCTCTCTCTCTCTCTCTCTCTCTCTCTCTCTCTCAAAACATGTTATGGGGAAAGGCCCAGTGTACATGATACCCTGTTTGACAAGGTTTATTTTGGACCTCTAAAGGGTGAGGATCAGGGCCATATGTCATACCTTTCAGGACTAATATAGTCTTTGATACATGGACACATCTGCTTTCTTTCTCTCAGAACAAACCCATCCTCACACAGGAAAGGACTCCAAAATACTCATCAACTACATTAGCTACTTCTGTTATATAACAAGGGAGTCGGGGCTCCAGTAATGTCTGGTTTGTGCTTCATCAGAGACACTCGAAAACGGCAAGAAACAAACCTTTTTGAAAGCTTGGAACATTTGTGGTCCTTCAGAACAGTAGATGTTTCTGTGCCATTTGCAGGTTGTGCATTAAATAAGGAAGGCAAGTAGTAAAAAGCAAGTTTTTATAGGTGAAAATGCATGTTTAGTTGTTGTCAGGAGGCAAACAGGTCTGGCATCCCAACCATGGGTGTATTCTTGCCTCATGCCCAGTGTTCCCGGGACAGAGGATTCACTACAAACCTGACCAGGATAAAGTGGATACTGAAAATGAGTGAGTGAGACAGTGAGTTCTTGATGTGTCATCATCTGCAGAAGATTATGTAGGATTAGACTGTCTTCCCAGAGTTAGGGCAGCTACTTTGAAAATGTAGTTAGTTAAGTTAAAAGTTGCTTTACAAAAAAAAAAAAAAAAGAATTGTTTAGAAATTTTACACAGTCAAATCATTTTTTACAAACTTCTTGATTTCAGAGGTTAAAATACTTCCTCGATGTTACCTGAAAATGCAGTTAAACTGCCTAGCACTGTGTTTTGAATAAAGTCCCTTTTTAACATGTTTTTAACATGTTTGTATCGTCACAGCAGCAGAGTCGAATGTACCACCAAACCCTCCCTCCATACATTACTATTGGCCAGTCACTGCAAAGGTAGATGGCAGTGAGGAAGGTGTTTGTCCTTGAGGCCATGTGCATGAATTGCATCTGTCTGTAATGAGAACAGTACTTTAAATAGACATAGGCTGACACTGATAAAGCAGTTAATGACCATTTTACTACTAATATAATGGTGACTACTGCTCTTGCTGCTGCTGACTCAGTCTTGCTACTGAGTGTATCTGCACCGGTGGGTGATGATAGATAGTGGTGATAATGAATCTGAATTGATTTGCAGTAAGGTGCAGTGCTGCTGGAGCGTTCAAGGCTTATGGTTCAATTCTGGGCCAGACACAAGGGAGACCAGCTACATGAATACAGTTTATCTCTTCTAACAAGGAGTAGTATCTGGGAGGTCCCCTTTCATTTACACACAAAAAACTAAAACTTAAAATGTCTTTCATTATACTGGGTTAAGAGTGATTAAAGGAAAATAAGAGTCATTAAATGAAGCAGGCTATTTATTTTCTGTATTTGCTAAATATCTTTGAAAGCATAAAGATGATCCATGGCGGCTGGTATAAATGGGCTAGCAGGGTTAGGCATATCCCTTCTCCTACCCCCCTGCAACCCCGCACCCACCCCCATATTTAATATTCCAAGGAAACACAGCATGTACCCATTAGAAACTGCATTGCGGATTTAAAACACTAAAAAAAAATTAAGAATGCAGCTGCCTATCTGTCTTTGTGTGTGCTACAATTTGCCCCACATTTTATGCCATTGACTTTTCACAAGTGATTTAGTGACACTCTACAGTTATAGGAATTTCGTAAATGGCTGAAAGTGAATGTAAAAGAACAGAAGAGCTCAGAGCCACTGTAGTAAAATTAATTGCTCAAACATAAAGCAAAAATGGTATTTTTTTTTGTTGGTTTCATTTTGAATCTGATCTGTGGTACAAGTCAGCGCTAATGATTATGGATGCACAAACCAGCAGTAACGAGGTTGTTGGTTTAAATGCAGAACATGTCTACAATAATGAGAGGCAGCATGTGATCCACACAGTAAGTGATTAGTGCCTGAGGGGTACAGGCCTCAGTGTGCTGCTC